TGGATGCATGTGGTGGGTTTGTCGGAAATTGGGGTACTGGCAATGTTCTAAACCAGATCGTCACCATCATTTCCAGTCAAATGCTGGAACTTAGGATGTCCTCATTTTCGGACATCAGTTTCCACATTATTTTCCATCATTGGCCATTTTCCTGTCAAGTCCAGAATGAAACAAATCCTCGACAGTCCAGCATCGCAGTTCCCATCAGCCTCCAGCTGAGAGGCGGACCAAGGTGATTGCTCGGCAGCGACCTCAGAGATCGAGCGCATCCCCAACCGTGGGATGGGCGGATCGTTTAATCCTATCGTTTTTTACAAATGGACAATAAGCATAACCAGCGACATATTATATGATTATATTTTTGGTGGACTACTGAATAGACTGACCATGATTATTGGGGAGTTTGATTGGGATATCAATGAGCTCCCTTGGATCATTTCTTACATAGCTATGGTATGCTATGCTATGGTATAGATGGTCCATTTTGTTGGATGGATCAATTCCTGTTCAGAATGGTGATGTTCCATAGCTAACTGTTCAATTCTCAGAGGGTCGAGATGAGGAACTTGTACGCTGGTGATTGGAGAAAGTCCATGAAAACTCTCTTCATTTTTCGGGATACTCCTCATAGGTGTGGGCCAATCTGAGTCGAAACAACGAGGACTCAATGGGACTTCCCAATGGTCCGGCCGAGCGAATTCTGCAGGTGGTCTCGATGTCCACGCCTGGCCCCGGCGTGTCCGAGGCGAGAATCTTTGGGTGCATCACAGCAGCCCAAATACTTGGAATGGGACAGTCACTGCTTGTGACTATACTCCCCAGAGGGAGAGAGAGTTGGAAGTGTTAAAATAGGTTTCAGTGCTCCTTGACTGGGATTCTCGCAACTTTCAATTCTTTTATATAGTTTTTATATAAGAGGCTTTTGCATCTGGAATTCCAACCCCGTGGTTTTGGAAGATTATTCTCGGCATATCATTGGATTCATGGATTTCAATCACTGGAACGATGATGCCAACGTTTGTTCAAAGTTTCAAACGAGCTACCCACCGGTGCCTAACCCCGAGTGACAGCCCCGAGAGGCAGAAGTTGTGGCATATCTTCGGTGGGTGGCGTGCCAAGTGGGGTTGGCGACCTTCGTTTTTTTGGTGCCTGAAGCTGTTCTTGGGTCTGAAAGTGCGGCCCCTGCCGCAAAATATGCAAGTTTCAGTGGGGAAAACAATGATAAAGCATTGGATGGAATGAGGTACGGTAATTACCCTATTTTCAAACAAAGTTTTGAAACTAGGTAACTAGGTGTTTGTTTTGGTCATTTGCAGTACCCATGACAAGCTAAACTGGTCAGAGTAGTGAGTGATTTCGTCGACCCCGTTTTTTTTTTGCACTTGGCTAACATTAGGTTCCACATGTTTGTTCGTTTGCAGCTGCATGACTGGAGTGTTTCTTTGCAGGGTTTGGAGCCCCCAACTAGTACATGCATGTACATGCTATTTTCGTGTTTTTCATACCAGCCGAAGTTACAAACGCACCATAATTAACCTTGGCAGATGTGACCCAAACTAGAACTTCTGATGCCTTTCCCTTGGCCGGTGCCTAACCAAGGTTCTGAGGTAGTTTACCCTTATGTAGATCTTTATGGCCCCCCGTGGCTCAACTGGATGCACAATCGCCGTTGTCACTTTCGGATCAAACCCTGCAGTCCGACAGGTGCGCAATGGTCAAAGATATTGGGGATATATGGGGATATAGTATACGGAAAGGTATCGCCCCGCCCAGCTGGTGACATCAGTTTCATTATTTTTCATTTAGTTTCTATCTATTTGAACAACACTACATGTTTTGTGATGGTGTTGTCAACTATTTTCTGTGGGCTTAAGACAGGTAATCTGGACCAATACCCACGCTGCACATCTTGCCTTCGCCCGGGTGTCGCTGTGTGCTTCACTCCATGCCCTTAGATCTCAATGAGGATGTTTGGAGGCCCAAGGGTGTATCCACTGGCTTTCGGCTTCTGAGAGTGACCATTTCATGGCCTGAAGTAGATGGAACTGGAGGATTGATGTAACCATCAGGGTAATGCGAGCTAAGTTCAAGACACGCCGGCGGGATCCAGTGGGTGTCGTTCATTTCCAGCCCCAAGCCCCGGTTGAGAATCCTCACTGCTGCATGGCGTGTTTCAGGACACTGCACAAAAGAGTAGCCCTGTTCGACTTTGAGCCTACATCTTTAACGGACTGGCCTTTCACTCGGCAGAAGCCGTTGGCTTTCAAGACCGGACAGGTAGTTTCTTGGACGATTCAACTGTATCCATTTTTGAGGCTAGCAACTGGATTGCTGTATATACTGTAATTGTCCATCATTGTTTTTTGTTTGTTTCCGTCACCGTGTGTAGTTTGTTTTCTTGCGCCTTGGTGGTAGGTTGGGAGACTCGTGATTATGAGGATGATGTTGTATGATTTTGTGATATTGTTGTTTTGCATTAATTACAGTATGCTTTGCGCGGTTTGTCCTCGCGAACACTTGTGCTGTTCATTTGATATCCACGATCTTTTCATGTTTGCATGTTTTTTTTTGGGCATGTTCGTTTTTTTTTGGGGGGGACATGGGACTCCAACAAATATCATCAGATATCAACTTCATAGCCTCGGGATTCCAGTTTTGCTCCCTTTTTGGTCAAGGGGCCCATCATTCATCATGATTCCCTGCTATGGCGGCTATGGCGGCTATGGCTATGGCAGCTATGGATTGCTACACTGAGGTTGAAGTTGTCTATGATGATGGTTCTGACTGGCTACTGGGGCGCGTGGCCGGCCTGCCGGAGACGGTGGGTTATTTCCCCAAGGACTATGTGGTCTCCGTTGAAGAGTACGAGGAGTCGGATGAATGCAACCAGTGGCTAAGGGGCAAAACGTGTTTTACTAATCTTTATATACTACATTATAACTATACTACATTTTTCTGGCAATCAATGTTTATCACACACTTCTACAAACTACAAACTGAGGCTTAATATTCAGGTATCATCCAATGGCATTCACCGAACGTTATTAAATTATATAATTCATATCTTTATATTATATATACATATTGAAATTATACATATTGAAATTATACATAATATACACATATATATATATTATGTTGAACACTGACTTGTTCCTGTTTATTGCAATGTTTATTCTCAGCAATATTATTCCTCATAGTTGGACATTCAAAAGATACATTTATATGACATATTAATGTAATAATATTTGTATATTATGTATATATATATATGTTTGCAATGAACAACGGACAACTAGTGACATCATGAATGGACTTTATACCTGTATTCATTATTATTAGTTTGTATGTGTATGTTTTTTCTTATTTTATATTTACATAATTTGTTACTATAAGCATGTGTTACTACATTCTTATTATGTTCTAACTATATATCTATATAGTTTTTTGATGTTTTCTGTGCTTATTGTTTTTATCATCATTATATCTATCATATTATTACATTAATATAATATACTTGCATGGGTTCTTATCATGGCCTCGGGATTTTTGTTCGGGCCCCACTTCCCACCAGGAGCTGCTTCAGGAATTCCGGAAGGACGAGACCATGGAGGGAGAGCCGTTTCGATTGCCGTGAAAATCGTTCCATGGATTTCCATGCTTTCCCACATGCCAACACAGGTGATACAGTGGAAAACATATGAAATATATGAACACACAATATCAATATATATATATATATATATACGGTATATATATATATATATATATGAACCCCTGGCTAACCTTTCGGAGATGGCGATGGAGGGAGAGAGAGAGAGAGAGAGAAAATATGGAAAAAAAACGCGCAAATGGAGGGCTAAAGATGGTTTAATGGGAACATCATCGAAGTAAATGGGAGGTTTCCCAGCTAGTCATGTTTGATTAACAGATGGTACAACTGCATTTTTTGGGTCGATTGAACATTCCCAACATACAAAAAATAGAATGCTAAGTTTTTGGAGTTCCAGTCAAGTGTTCAGTGGCGACGTGGACAGAAATAAGGTCCCAAATTGAAACATCCCTCTCGTCAAGGATGATGCGATGATTCTGGATGATTCTTGGATGCGCATCCCAGTCAGAAAGCGAATTGTAACAACCAAATTGTGTCCCAGTTCTATGTGGAATATATTAATATAATATATCCCAGATACACATTGTTGCATTATATTGTTACATTACGTATATTATATCCAAGATAGTAAGTCGGTTAATGTATTCCCCCATGTTGCAAATGTCCTACACCCAGTTCTTAAACACCACATATGCCGCTGACAGGCCTGACTACTGACGGTTTACACCCCATCTTTTCAGCCACCTTTTGCCCGGTTTCTCCGAACTGGTAGGAGCCCGCATCCTTGCCATCCACTGGACAAAGATGCGGATAAAACAAGGGCTTGCCTGAGCGGTTGGATTTTGGATTCCCCCAAACATATCAGAAAAAGAAAACAGGAAAGGTTGTGGAAAAAAAACAGGTTAATGGTTAATCCAATGGTGGTCAAAAAACCGCGCACACACACCGTTAATAAGTAGACCCCAAGGTGATTCTCCGAAGGCCTAACTTTTTGGAGCCGTGAAATTTAAGATGGAACCCTAGACTGGCATTTTTTCAGCAGCAAAACATGCAACTTTGTTCTTTGTTTCTTCGTTTTTTTTGTGTGCGAGGTTCACGGTAGACTTGAGGGAGTTTAAGGGGTATAGGTTCTTGGGACACAGTATAAGATAGTATCAGATCATCCTCTCTGAAGCCTTTCTCTACTGACGTGTTCCACTGTTGCGGCAGCAGGGCCCGAGCACAAGGTGTAGCTGCCGATTTTTTTCAGCGGTCCAACTGTTCAAACAGCTCAAAACCCCGCGCTGAAAGCAGCCAGTCAACCCACCCATCCACAGATCAGACAAGCCAACTCTATAATCTCAACAAACCTTTGCAACAGAGACATTTGTTTCTTGAGGCCTGTAGCTGTCGTTCACGCTCATGAGATTCACGGCCCCTGCTGCGTGAAAAGATGGGTGATGTCAAAGACGCAGACGATGATCCGCGTCCTGGCTGCATCATTTTTCATACCGAGATTGCATTTTTGGGGTGCACTATTGTCTGACACAGCCACATCTATGTATACCATCTTACCATATCAACCACAGAATCTTCAGCTGCCAGGTCAAAGATTGCAGACCAGAGCAAGGTCGTGGCGCTCTATGACTTCGAACCTTCCAAGATCGATTGGCCTTTCAACCGGCAGAAGCCTTTGGCGCTGAGCACCGGCCAGGTGGTCGAGATCGTTCATGACGATGGCTCGGAGTGGGCCCTGGGACATCTGGCAGGAGTGCCAGAGACCTTGGGCTACTTCCCCAAGAACTACACCGTTTCAGTGGGCGAGTACCAGGCCGGGTGCCGCAACGAATCTGGTGAAGCGGTTTGGGATTGGGGTTGTGATTTTTTTTTTCGGAATCCCAAGGTCATCTTGCGAATGAACTATTAGGCTAAAGGATCTTTCTCATTTCCCTAATCACCCCCAATCAGATTCCAAATCAAGGACCCAAATATCAAACTTGATTGATTCATAATCCCTGGCTGCTGGCTGACTGCCAGACTTGCAGGTGATGTGTGGCCATCCGGCCAAAGTAAAACATACATACATAGTTACATAGTTACATACATACATACATACATACATACAGACAGACAGACAGACAGACAGAAAGACAGACATACATACATACATACACGCATTGCACATCATTGCGCTACATTACATTGCATTACATTACATTACCTTACATTACATTACTATTACATTCTACTACATTATATACATTACATTGCATTGCATTGCATTGCATTGCATTACATTACATTACATTACATACATAAATACACACATTGCATTACATTACAATTACATTCACAATTACAACTACAAATAATTACAATTACAATACATTACATTACATTCATTACATTACAATACATTACATAACTCATAACAATAAAACTTGCATTACAATACATTCCATTGCAATACAATACAGTACATTACATTACATTACACTATATTTCATTACATTAATACATGCATGCAGACAGACAGACAGACAGAAAGACATACATATACATATAACATTTAAACACAATAATTAAACCTTTGAATAACACGGTTGTAACGCACCACAATTTTACGCAAGAAAAAAGATCAGACATGATCTGACATATGTTACGGCCTTTCTGATACTGACCTGGCAGGAGATGATGCGCGACTTCGAGAATCAGGAACAGCAAGATGGAGATGAGGATGAGGCTGATCAGGCCCCACTGGGTCTTCTGTCCAGGGGATTTTGGTATATTTATATAGGTCAGTTTGGAAAAGGACAGGCTGCGACTGCGGAATTCAAGATGGAGCATTTGAGGGTCAAATCCCCCATGTTTGTCATTGTTTGTCTATTGCTGTACATCTCCAGTTTCACTGAATCAGATTACATTTACATCTTGAATTTTGTTGCTACAATCTCCACTCTTTAAACCTCAATTCATTCGCCTTACATCTTATTTTTGTTGGGTTAAATCTTCCTCCATGGGTTGTCGTTATTTTTATTATTTTTTGTGGCTGAAACCTGGCCAACCCCAGCATTTGGATGAATAAGAAAAAGAAAGGTTTGGCATTTTTCAACCCAACCTAGGATGACGATCCCACTTGAATCATGAATGAATAATCTATCAATATCTATAATAATCTATAATAATCTATAATAATCTTCCCAAGATTCAACACCCCTTCTGTCATGGATCACCATGATCCGCGGGGATTTCCGTCAGGTGCAAGGGCCTCCCGAGACGCGCGCCATCCCCGCTGGGCCTTTGCCTGCTCCTCTGGTGGAGCAACAGACGCAGGTGTGGCTCGCAGGGGCGGCAGGGCTGGTACCTCTACCATTGAAACATTTAGGAACTTGGGCTGAAAAAATGAGTGTGTATCATATATATGTAGATATATGTATGTATCATATGTAGTATATATGTAGATATATATGATATACATCTAATTTTGTTTAGATTTTGGCAAAGACAAATGAGACAAATTGATGGGATTTCAGAAACTGAGCAAACTGGGACTGAAGCAGCAGGATGACTGGTGATGAACAGCTGAATCTTATTGTGCGGTTCGCGAACGGAAAAGATGGAGAAGTAAATAATGACTTAGTAACCCAGATGGGAATAAATGGGAATATATATAGCCAATAATGGGATAATAGATGATTATGATGATAATAGATGATAATCTGGGTAAATTAGATCACGACCTCACGTCGCGACCGAACCCAGGAATCATGGTTACTTTTGGGGAAATCATCTCCAAATGGCAGCAAGATTCAGGCTTGTGAAATATTATAATTTGCCCAGATATATACAAGAAGCTCGCGTCTTTCCCATCTGGATGTTTCATTTTGGTTCGAAAGTCAATTTCCCTATATTTCCCTGAAATCGGTTCCGGGAATTACATGCAATGTCAATCTCCAGATACCCTCTGGTAAACTAACATAACTATGGAAAATCACCATGTTTAATGGAAAAATCCACTATAAATGGCCATTTTCAATAGCTATGTTAAATTACCAGAGGGTATCTCCAGATCAACAAGTCCTTTGCAATGATGATTTACTCCCCATTGAGGCCTCCATGGTGGCTTAGGCTGCCTTGACTTGACCGGCTTTCGCAGCCAAGGTCTACTATGATGAGGTGAAAGAGAAGGAAAAGGACAGTTCCACTTTTCTTACTGGTGCGTTTTACGTAGGGAATGGATGGGTTGCTGGGGGTTGCTAGGATGATTATTACTAGTGATGACTGGGATCATTCCCAAAAATTCCCTACTAAGCACCAGTAAGTTTTGCGCATATGCCTCTCTCTCTCTCTGTGCGTCAAGTTTTTAGATTTTCAAGTTTTCCTGCTCAGGAGACAAAGAAGAAGGACGAGCCCAAAGAACTGCCCGAGCTCGTCTACCCGGGGATCTCCGAATATCCTGCCATTGAAGCTAGACCCCCGCAGCCCACGGCCTTTGAGGTCCCAAAGTTTGGGGGGTCTCAGGTGTGCCATCCTTTTTTTGGGACGCATTTTGGCTTTGAAAAAAAGATCTCACTTTTTTTAGGATTCCTTCCTCAAATTCTCCTGTTTCAGCTGGTGTTTCATCTCCCTATGGGATGGTGGTGAGAATCCCCCCCAGTCAATTTGGCTTTGTCGACCCCATCTGTCACCAGTGGTTTACCATGTTCCCTGTTATACACATGTGATAACTTGCGGTAAATCTTCAACCGACACACCCAAGGAGCATATCAACTAGTAACTTACGTCAGATATCACCATCATGTTGCCATTAGATCCCCATTACATCTAAATAAAATCGATCAGACAAACAACATTGTTCATGTTAAATACGGTAGAGACACATTAACATTTTTCATCAATTCTATCCACCATGTTTTATGTTTGTTGAACCATGATTATATCCTGCGGTACCCCATTGTATCCCTAGCATAGTTGGTCTTATGCTGCCACACTTCTTGTTGGTTAAAACCCATCAATCTCCCATCTTGTTTCCATTTAAGGATATATATATACAGTATATACACATTCATGATATCTCCCTGTTATACCACCATTCTACTATATTTTACTTGGCTAAGTCTCCAATTCTTGGTTGCTGAACTCTGAAGTTCCCATTTTCCTCGGTCAAGTCGATCCATTTTGATCCATTTTGATTCATATTTTGCTGGGTTTAACAATGTTTCACATTCCCCATGGTCAAAATATGTCAAAATATTAAACATTCTATGATTCCCATGGTTTAACATTCCCCATTTTCCCGGGTCAACTCCTTCACTCATGACATTTCGATATTTCTCCAGCCAGGTGACCAAGAGCCGCATGCTGCGGGAGATGCCTCCGGTGCCACTGCCGGCACCTGAGGAGCCGGCGCCCCCCGAGGACGACATCATGGCGGCGCGCTGGGAAGTGGAGGCGGAACTGAAGGCGCAGGAGGCGTGGTGACCGTGGTGGTGGGGATTTTGGATGGGCACACCTTGGTTTTTGTGGTTTACCCTCTGGTAAATTAACATAGCTATGGAAAATCACCATTTTTAATGGGAAAATCAACTATAAATGATCATTTTCAATAGCTATGTTAAATTACCAGAGGGTAAAATTACCCTCTGGTAAATTAACAGCTGGACCCTGAAAATCACCCGTTTTGAGTGGAAACATGTGGAAAAAACTCCGATGACTGGCAGGGTCGAACTGTTAATTTACTGGAGGGTAACTGGTGCACCCATCAGTGATTTAGGATCCGTGGCTTAGAATCCCATGTAGAACCCATATTTCATGCCATACTGTAACTAGCGGATATTCATGGATATTCCATTAATTTATATATCTACCCTCTGGTAAACTAACATAACTATGGAAAATCACCATTTTAATGGGAAAATCCACTATAAATGGCCATTTTCAATAGCTATGTTAAATTATCAGAGGGTACTTAGAACTGGAACTGCACCCCGCCAAAAATGCATGGAGGACCAGCCCACGACTAGCTAAACTGGTTTGTGTTTGTGGAGTTAGTTCATCCACTTATACATGGGATGACCCAGTAATAAAGTCTTTGAGATGATGAGTTGTTTGGTATATGTTTTTTTTGGTATTTTGTGATATTATATACGGATTTTGGTGGATTTTTCATTTTTGAAAACAAACACATGGGGTTGAATTTGAGAAATGGGTGGATTTGAGGGATTGCCAGGCAAAACATGTAATTCGTGCTTCGCGGTGTGCAGTTGCATAAAAAGTTTGATGGACATTGTGATGTGCTCCGTTGTCACGGTCAGAAGAGGCATTTAGATGATCAAGACATGTTTGAACATGTTGTAATTGTGGTTTTAAATCACCAGCTGCAGAGCTATTCGGACTGATGCTTTTGATGTCCCCCCAAGTGTTGGGGATTAATCACCAGGATATCATGGATATCAAAGGTGCCTTGGCTCACGGATCACTGGGTGGATGAGCTGATTTCCCCTTTAAGGTGATCTGATATGGAATATATGTGGAATAGGGTCACCTCTAGGTAAATCATCTATAAATATGGGTCATTTTCCATAGCAAACTGTAAGACTTTACTGGTAAAGTATGTGCCCTAAGTGCCAACAGAGACGATCTAAAGATTATCACCCTATGTATACCCTGGGGAGGAACAAACACAATCACATGGTTAGCTGGGAAATCCTATAATATTCCCGAACTAAATGGACGCTTGAAGGTTTAAAGAAAGTTAATGTATGCGTGTATACATACATACATGCACACATACACACACACATACACACACATACACACACACATACATACATACATACATACATACATACATACATACATACATACATACATAACTACATACCTACCTACCTACCTACATACATACATAGATACATAGATACATAGATACATACATACATAGATACATAGATACATAGATACATAGATACATAGATACATAGATACATACATACATACATACATACACACACATACATACATACATACATACATACATACACACACATACATACATACATACATACATACATACATACACACACATACAGACACACACACATACATACACACACATACACACACATACACACACATACATATACATACAGACATACAGACATACAGACAGACACACACACACATAGTACGTATGTACGCACACACATAAACACATACACACACATACACACACATACACACATACACACGTACACATATCCATATGCATATACATATACATACACATACATACATACACACTCATACATACACATACATATACATACATATACATACATATACATACATATATATATATATACATACGCATACATACACATACATACACATACCTACAAATACATACACATACATACACATACACACACATACATACATGCATACATACATACCTACATACCTACATACCTACATACATACATACATAACATAATATAACATAGCATAACATACATTACATACATTACATATATTACATACATTACATACATCACATACATCACATACACTACATACATTACATACATTACATACATTACATATATTACATACATTACATACATTACATTCATTACATACATTACATACATTACATACAACACATACATTACATACATTACATACATTACATACATTACATACATTACATACATTGCATACATTACATATATTACATACACTACATACATTACATACATTATATACATTACATTACATTACCTTACATTACATTACATTACATTACATAATATTACATCACATACATGCATACATGCATACATGCATATTTATTTATATGTATATGCATATGTACATACATATGTACATACATATGTACATACATATGTACATACATATGTACATAATACATATGTACACACATATGTACATTACATTACATTACATACACACACATATATACATACATATACATATACATATGCATGTGCATGTGCATATACATATACATATGCATATGCATGTGCATATACATATGCATATGCATGTGCATACACATATGCATATGCATATATACATACAGACATACATACATAATACATATGTATGCATTCATATGTATCATATGTTTACCAATGTGTACATATATGTATAGATATAAGTATAAAAATACTTGGAATATTTTGCATTGTGTAGCCCTCCTGCAATAGCTCATGAATGTTCTTGATAGGATACCATGTGCAAGGGAAGAATGGCCATATCCAATTCATCACGGGGCTTCCCACTGCCCCAAGAAACTGCACCATCATCAAGAGTAAAGCTGCCACCAATGAGCTAGGGATGATTGTTGTTTGTATCATCAGGTGCCATCTTTGCATATATATACATAGTATTATATAGATATGGGATTAATTCAATCTGTCAATGAACTATATTCCACCCATAGGCATTAGGGTCACAGTTTCTTCAGTCTTGTTTAGAATGGAGGCTGATATGATTTACAATAATGTGTTCTTTAGATATGAGTTCACACACACATATATATATACATGTATATGTAGATATACGGATACACATATGTATACAGTGTATATATACATACACACACATATATATATATAAACAAAAAAAACACATGCGTGTGCCTGATTTCATTTTCCAACATATTGCCATGGGCCATGCCCCTTTCCACCAGCCCAGGTGGCGTGATCACCTACTCCCGCAGCTCCACCCCGGCCACCATGGCGGCGTCCCGCCCGGAACGGGACTTCGTGCGGAAGAAGGCGCGCAGGAACGTCCAGCAGGAGCCGGAGGGGACGGGATGCGAAACTGGGGCGCTGTATTTTAGGAAAGCCATGGTAAGATGGAGAAAATATCTATTTTATAATGATCAATGATCAAACTATGATCACATATAATCATCTATAATCTATGCATGGTTGTGTTCAAGCCGTGAGTGGTTTTTTCTTTATTCGTTTCAGCAGCTGGGAGCCGCAGGATCACTTGAGGCCCGTGAATCAGCTCATGGGGCTGGTGAACACCCATGTCCGCACTGCTTGGGAGACTTGGACGAACCGCTGCACAGAAGTGTCCGATGAGCAAGAAATAGTTGGCATCATCAACTATTCATCAATTGTCCCATGAATGTGATAGATTTGTTCAGGTGATGGCAGGCCCAGTCACCCACTGAGCTTTAGCACCAAGGAGATCAAACAGCAGCCCTACAAGACGGATCTGCGGGCGCGAAGCACCACCCTTCGGGTGGCCGCTGGAATTGAGCCCGCGCACATGCGCTTTGCGCTGCAGAGGGCCAATGAGACAGGAGCCAAGTGGAAACAGATGTTCAGGCCAGAAAGGGATGGACTAGCTTGAGTCAGCTTGGTGTGTAGGCATGTTGGAAGAAAGACGTGTGACAATGCAGTGGGTTCTTGATTTTTTTCGTTGCATATTTGAAACCATTTTGCCACAATTTTGGAGGGCCGATTTTTTTGGGAGATAAAATCCAAGAAAATTGCTCTTTGAAGGCTCATTTGTCTTCAATTTCATGTCGATGAACGGCCAGGCCGGGCTTCAACGATACGGTGAACGAAGCCTTTCTAGTTGGTTGCAATTCATGCATCCTGAGCCATCTTTATCTGAAGGATCCTTGGCCAACGAGTGAGTGCATGTGGGATCATGTGGCGTGTGCTCAATTTGGATTTGTGCCTCCAAAATGGTTGTCTCTTGATGGGAAGTTGATGATAAACCAATTGGTTTTTGGGGTTGCAGACAATCCAAGTTCTTTTGGGATATGGGGACGATTCGGCCCTCCAAGACGGAGACAATTTGGACAGCAGCAAGCATCACCAAGGATAAAGAGGCCAAGGAGCAGTTTCAGAAGCTGCACGTCAAGGACGGGGGGACATCCAGACAGACCGTCATTGGATGTGTTTTCCGTTGTTTTCCAAAGCTCGGAGCTTCCTGTATGTTTTCCTTTCATCCAGTTTGGGGCAGTAAGGTAGTCAGTGGTATTAATACTTATAGTAAGATATAGTAAGATACAGTAAGATATAGTAAGATAAGATGATGCAGCATCAATTTTGGTTGAAATGACCCATGGAGCATCATGACATACATCGATGATGCGAAGTGGGATATCGAGCCGAGGGGTTGCCGAGGATGTGAATGGCGTTGTGTGGTTTGAGCTGCAGCGCAAAAAGGCCCATCTCTTTTACATGCGCATGGACTATACAGACTCTTGGCGGTGAGCGATAAAGATGAAGTTTGGTTTTGGGTTCGAGCATTTTTTTTGTTAATAGTCACCTTGACGCCAGTACTGCTAGGACATGTTTTTGTACATGTGCATTATTATTGTCCAAAGAGCATGTGAACAATATAATTAACAATTCATTCGCCAGTCGCCAATTGCATTTTTATGTGCAGGGGCGCAGCAGAATCTGCGAACAGGTTGCTACAACAACTTCCGAATTCAAACCTGACTTTCATGGACGTCAGATATGACCCACTCTGATCCCTCTAAGAGTCTCCTCATTGGCATTGGTTGATGGTGGCTCCTTTCTTCACCGTGAGACATGGACAGAACTCCATTCCGCCCAAATTGAATACCGTAAAACAACAACCCCCCTGGTTTGATGTTGAATTCCATGTTGAGGTCCCACAAGGACATGAATGTTTTACTACCCTTTGGCAATCAAATGTGGCAATGGAAAACCCACCATTCTTTTCGACTCTCCCATTTAAATGTGCCAGTGATGGAGGGTTTCCCAGCCACAATGACACCGGATAGCCATGGCGTTTTACTGAGGACGTGATGATGGCACACCCAGATGCCTGGGGCTTCCCAGATACCAGTCGCGTCGTGGCCGCCAACCCTGGAGAACCTGTGAATCCCTTTCACGGTGCCCAGTCCGATCGGAATGGCGTATCGGAATGGCGTATCGGAATGATGGTCCATGGAGTTTGATGATAAATCCCTCTTAAGAATGGTGATTTTCTTTTTTTTTTTGTTTTGTAGCTATGTTATATAATTATATATATATATGTTATTAACCAGGCAAACTTGGTAAACTGTTCAATCTTTGTTCATCTTTGTTCCACTGCAAGTCTGCTCTCATCGAAGCGCAACATGAACGCTTGGTCACCACCCTGAATCTGAATGTGACATGGAACATCACGGAACCTAAAACAGGACCAAATCTTCGATAATTCTATAGGAACATCATGTCCTAGACCCCAAAAAAAATTGGGGTGTGTGAGATTTTCTGGACCAACGGGACTGCACCGCCTTATTTTTGTATCAATGGTGCATCGCTGTGCATGGCTCAGGTTGGTATGCTCAGCATTCCATCGATCCGGAGGCGGAGCTGGAAGATGTGGAGCTGCTTGGCGCCACGGATCTCCCGCGCAAGCGCGGACAGGCTGAAGATATTGGAACAACACCTATGAAACAGCCGCTGAAAATTAAACAACAAACACAATTTGTAGGATATTTTTTTAACATTTTATAACACTTTATAACATGTATAATTAACCATAGGGTAATTATGTTTTTTTTTTTATATGGCAGTTTCATGGGGGGCGGTACAGATGGTTATAACCTAATATTATATTTGGTGAAGATGAACATCTATTAAAAACCCGTCCACTTTGACATGTCCCATGTGGAGTTAACCACTACAGTGGTAAACTCCATTATAGTTGCTTAAACCCGGGCATATACTAATGTAATTGGTTTAAACTCAAACTAATGCGGTTCCGAAAAACTCTCAGTGTTTTATACATCAATCCAGAATTTTGTTTGTTCATTAAACATGTTTTTTCACTCAACATGTTTATTTCTATCATTTTTTACACCCCTTCAACAAAAAGTACCCTCTGGTAATTTAACATAACTATGGAAAATCACCATTTTTCATGGGTAAATCCACTATTTCTATGGCCATTTTCAATTGCTTTTTGTATGTTTACCAGAGGGTAGACTGATGATTGTTGAATGTTCCCTCCGTTCTATCCCCATCAGATCAGCCATAAAAAATCCGCATCATATCAGATATATATGCGCTGCATTGGGTTGGACGCGACGCAGCGTTTCAAACACGGTCGAGGTTTCGCTATACCTTGCGGCTTCGCAGCTTTCCCGAGACCACCTTTCAAGCCTTAGCGCTGGGGAAGATCCCAGAGTGGTGCCTTGGCCATGGATTTCAGCAGCCAAAACCTGGATTTGTATGCTGCAATTGACTGTAAATGTGGATTCCAAGCGGCACAACATTGGAAACAGCAAAAACCTGGATTTCAGGATCAACATGGATTTAAGTGACACCAAATTTAACGAACAAAAACGGGGATGTAAGTGGCAATAAATGGAAACCAAGTTGCAAGAATGCAACTTACGCTAATAGGGTGTGCCTGAAAGTGATGGTTTTGAACAGCATCCACCTTCCCAGTTACTTGAATGGCCATAAACTGGTTGACCAGATTCTGCTTTGTTGATCATTCCAGGTACCACCTCAATACATTCGGGATAGAATTGACGCCCATCAGTCAATTTACCATCCCTTAACACTGCACAGATGCAAGATCTTAAAAGTATGAACAATCATTTGTGAATCTATCATATTTTTATCGCATATAAATCGATATAAATCGGGTATCATATCAAAATTTCACATCTCTATCTAATCCGAATCTTGATAATCTTGCCTCATTTTATCCCAACCGCTCCACAGCCAAGGATCAAGCCCTACCTTTCCTTGCACGCGGAGGCTGAGGCCCCGGACGACCTGACAGTGGAAGAGGACGAGGAGGCCATGCCGACAGAGACGGGGAAGGCCATTGAGCTGGAGAACAACCTGATGATGGAGGCCCATCTGACAATTTCACCAAGCATCTGTTGGGAATTCAAAGAAGGGAGAGAGAGAGAGATATATATATATACGTAATATATCGTAATATATATATATATATACATATCTATATATATATACATATCTATATATATATACATATATATACATATCTATATATATATATACATATATTTAATATGATTATTTATTATTATTACTAATTATTGTTACTTTTTCTTCTTATTCTTATTATTGTTGTTTTATTATATATATATATAATATCCCCCAAAACAGAACAGTAATTGCGGTCGCTCTTTGATATAAGAATTTTAAAGCAACATCATAGTAAAAAAAGGCACACACACACAGATACATTTGTTTGGAATTAATTGATACATATATGGGTATATACATATGTGTGTATATATGGATGGAGGCGGCAATGGAGAACAACCTTTTCCCACTGGTTGGCGGGTCAATCAACGAACATGATGCTATACTGGGGATATATATATATATACAAATATATGGCTGGTTGATTTGCTGTACTAAACTCAATGCCATAAAGCTCCACAGTGGGATCAAGAATGCCATAAACAATCCCCAAGTATGAAGCATAGAAGGCTCATGAAAGGCTCATGAAATTGTGAAATTGATGTGATAAATCACTACTCTATCGGAATTGATGATGATTTTGGATCCTCCATGCCTATGCCATTTTGGAGCGACGTCACTGAAGTCAGAAGAGAGACTTCAGATCAAGAGAGTGAGAAAGTAGCACATACTGCACCCTCCGGTCATTTAACATAGCTATGGAAAACCACCATTTTTATAAGGAAATCATATGTATACATATATACATATATATATATATACATACATATATATATATATATATATAACACATTACCGAAGGGTAAATCGGGGGTTTGGGGCTGAACATGGACGGAAAAGTGGCACAGGTTCTGCCCTTGATATTTGAGAAATGGGACGTGGTGATGGGGGTGATGGGGGTGATGGTGCTGATGATGATGGTATATGATGGGGGGGTTATTGTCGTTATTGTGTTAATTAGTTATTATATTGTTATTCCTTGTTTATTCTTATAACTATTTATCTTATAACAATAATTATATATATATATATATTATATATGATATGCGTGTTATTACTGCTATTTAATCTGATTGTCATTATTATGTTGTTTATCACTATCACCACCATCATCAACACCATCACCAAACTCTCACCGCTCTCGGTTCACAGGCGGGGCTCGAAGATGGCGATAATCTCTACGTCAAGTTGGACGAGTTGAAATTGGCGCGTGAACGAACCACCGGCCCCGACGTCTTAGACGCGGACCTGAGGGCTTACAGACGTTTGATTGCAGTGGTCGGAGACCGGGATTGCGGTGTAAATGACATAATGACATAATGTCAACCCAGGATATTAAACCAAAGAATTAATTTATCCTG